CCCACACCCAACAACACACCCCAAAAAAAAAAAAAAAAAAAAAAAAAAAAAAAAAAAAAAAAAAAAAAAAAAAAAAAAAAAAAAAATCCCTCTTTTTAGCCCAGCAGTCAAAAAATAGTAGCAAGTAGCTGACACTAGTTGAACACCTATCATATGTCATTTGGTGCTAAATTCTTTACATATTAGAAACTGTTTCCTCTATTCATAGCACTTCTGACAGCAGCTGTGTGGGCTCTTCCCCTCACCCGCCATTTCCATCTCTCCAGGCAGCTGCTGAGTGTCCTTTAATTCAGTCATGATGCTTTTCCCTGAAGCCAACTCGGCTTACTTTGGATACCAACCACAAGTCCAGGTCTGCTGTGCCTCAGCTATCGATCACCGGTTCCCACAACCCCTCCTGAGATTCAAAGTTCCTATAGCAGCTTATAGAGCTCAGGGGAAGCACATTTCTTGGTTCCTTTTAGACAATGGAAGAAAAGGCCTAGCTGGAGGGTCAGATGAATAGGTTTAGAGGTGTTGTGAGTCAGGAGCACAGAAACTTCTCTCCCTGAATTGGAGCATGCCACCCTTCTCATGTGCGATGTAGTCACCAACCTGATAGTTCTAAACCTGTTGTTTAGGGTTTTCATGGTGGTTCTTTTATGAGTGCTTTACTGATGGACTCACTGGCCATTGGTGATTGCACTCATCTCTAGCCCCTCCCCTCTCTGGAGGTCCAGGGAGTGTAACTGCAATTTAACCTGCGGATCACATAGGAAGTTCTTTGGAATGAATTTATTTATGATAAATCTTTGTTTTGAGATCGGACTAAATGTTTTAGGAACAAGTCACCTGTGTCCAGAAAGGGTAATCTAGGTTAGTAGCAATGTTTTTATTTCTCTACCCTTCCAAAAAAGGTACTGGACTGATTGGGCTTTGAAGCATACTTCAAAGTGAGCCTTGGAAGAATTGCCAAACTATTTGAAGATATTTTTACAAAAGGATTTTTATTTTGTTAAGCCAAATAATAGTACAGTTTATAGCATTCTAATGAAAAAACTTCTGTGCATTTGTTTTTGAGGATTTAATTTTAAGTGGCAGTGCATACAAGAATTGCTTTTTCTTCAAGGTATAATGTGTTTTTTTTGTTTTTTTTTTTTTCTTTTTTTTGCCTCTTGGTTATTCTGAAAAACCTTATGGGATTCAGCAGCCAACTCACATTCATGTACTCAAAAGAAAGTGAAAAAACAAATCAAAGCAACTCTCCAGTGCTAGCCCTTTGAAATTCCTCATTGCCAGGAAAACCTGCCTTGATACTTTTGTTTTGGTTTTAGGGAGTTGCTTCCTGGCTAGATTGAGAGGCTCTCTTTAAGGCCCCTTAGGAAGAATGTCTATGTTTAGAGCTGGTTAGGCCTTCCTGAATGATCTCATTTTATATCTCTAATCCTAGGAAAGCCATCCTGTTACACCCAGTGGTTATTCTGTGGAATTCCATAAGGGTTGTGTGGAGTGTGTCATTAGTTCATATACTGGTAATCTGATGAACATAACTGTGAAGTTCACCTCTACATACACAGTCAATATCGACTGATGCGGTCTCTGTGAGGTGGATAATTTCCTCTTTACCACTTGCCCTTTAATGCACTTGCATGTGTGAGGTATGTCTGCTACGTGTTCCAGTAGCCAAAGAAGAGCACGTACTCTGACATCTCAGCTGTACAGGGCTCACGAACCATCCGGTACCATGGCTCCTGCCTGAGGACTGTTTCCTGTAAATCCATGTCTTGCTGCATACATGTTTGGAATTTTGCCTATGCTTGTATTTTTCTCAACTATAGCTTATGCTTAAACCATAATTTCTAAGTCAGAGGTTTTCAAAAGCTTTGGGTTAATCCTCAAGCCATTGATTTATTTAGCCCCACTGCAGAGAGGTTCAGAGCTAAGTCAAATGAAGGAGCAGTGAATGCTCTCTGGAGTTGAAATAAACTGAGCAAGAGGGGAGTTTAGTTGAAGTATTTAAATGATAGCATTTACTTAGTAATCTGCCTTGAAAACAATTTCAAGAAGTTTCTTTTACTGCTGTATTTACTGCTCAGGAAGAGCAAGAGCAGTGTTTTCACCTCCTCTAAGCTGAGAGCTGGCAGGCAGCCTTTTGGGCAGTGCTAGGAAAACCATCCTTATCCTCCCACTGCATGTGCCGGACTTGTGGGAACTGTTGCACGATACAGAAACCACACATGGGCTCTGAGACATGCTCCAAGAAACCTCAGAAGTGTCAGAGCCATTGATTGGCTCACTCAACTTTTCACTGTTAATAGCCATCTTAAGCACTTGGTAAGAAAAGAGAGCAGTCTTCTCAACAGGACAGCTGTATCATTTTTACACTGTATGAGCAGAATTGTAGCAGAAATGGCTAACTGCTTCTGTTCTTCAATGTTCATTTCCCTGGTTCCTTAGAGAGATGGGTGAAGTAAACCCATGTGAAGTGACTCTTGCCTAATTCCATGGTATCATATTGCCGTTAGATACTTTAAAAAAATTTCTTGGGACAGGCATGGTGGCGCACGTCTTTAATCTCAGCACTTGGGAGGCAGAGGCAGGCGGATCTTTGTGAGTTCAAGGCCAGCCTGGTCTAACATAGAGAGTTCCAGGACAGCTAGAGCTACAGGGAGACCCTGTCTCAAAAAGACAAAAAAAAAAAAAATTTCTTGTGTGTAAGCCTGGCTTCCAACATCATTTGTAGCTAAGGGTGACCTTAAATTTTTGATCCTTCTACCTCTACCTTTCAAGTGCTAGAATTAGAGGTGTGTGTCATCATGTTCAATTTGTTTGGTGTGGTATTGAACCCAGGGTTTCATGCATGCAAGACAAGCACTCTATAAACTGATCACATCCCCAAGCCCCTAGAACCACTTTCTTACAGCAGTAAGCCCTCTCCCTCAGAGCAGTAAAAAATTGTATGGCTGTGACATTTGCTCTGGTTGAATTTGACTGAAATTGAATGACCTTAAGCATTTGGTATTTGTTCTGGAGCCAAAAACTAGTCTCTTCCTGCAGAGCTGCCATAGTTCCCAAAAGGTACTGAATCTTCTGTGACACTGTTGAGATAATTATGCCTGGTAGTGTCACAACCCTGTCACTTTCTTGTCTCTAGAGTCTTGAGGGCAGAGTATGTATTATAGAGTCTTTAAAAACCCTAGGGACAGGGCTAGGTGGTCCCTCTTCCCATTTCTGCATTCTAGTTTTATTTTGTTTCTTCCAGGAACCTGTGCCTTCAGCTTCTCCAACAGGTACTCCCAAACACAGTATAAGGAAGATGACAAGCACAGAGGACCCCAAGGAGCCCCCTGCACAGGGGCTGCTCATGATGCCTCCTTCTGGAATGGGCCTCCGCAGCCTGAAGACTGAGTTTGTGCCCAGTGCCTCCATCAAGCAGCATGGGCAGCAGGCCACACCACCTGTCGGCCATGGTTCCAACAGTCCAGGTCAGAGAGGAGGAAAGAGCTGTACAGTGAAACTGGACCTTCCTGAGCCATTTCCAGGAAGCAGTGTGGAGTGCATTTGCATGAGCAGAGGCCAGCAAGGACATGGCATTCTCTGATGGTGATTGGGTTCTGATGTTGCTTTTGATGTCTTAAGCAGCGTAGGTATAAATTTAGCCTTGGATAACTTCCAAAGTAGATTAAATTAGAAAGGCATACATAGAGAGGCTTTACTTGTTTGTAGAACTCTCACAGGACTAGGTGGCTCTCAGCAGGTGGTGATAGCCTAATTGGGCAGAGTCCTGCTCCTGTGAGCCACTACCCAGACACTGTCCTTGCAAGTCACTGTTGAGTACTCAAAGATGAGACATTAAGCCAGGTGCACAACCTTAGTCCCAGCACTCAGGAGGCAGAGGCAGAGACAGACTGATCTCTCTAAGATCTACATAGTGAGCTCCAGACTATCCAGGGCTACAGGGAGACCCTGTCTCAACAAAGCCAACAAACAGACACTAAAAATCTTGGAAGATCTGAACCGTCCTGTTGTTGGTACTCCTCATCTTGTTCTGATTTTTTTTCATTTTTTGTTTTTCTTGAGACAGGGTCTCCCAATGTAGCCCAGTCTGGCTTGAACTTGTCCTTCTGCCTCAGCCCCTCAACTGCTGGGATTATGGCCATGCTCTTCTTTTGTTTGTTTGTTTTTGTCTTATTGAGACGGTCTCCCTATAGCACCAGCAGGCCTGGAACTTGCTATGTAGACCAGGCTGGCCTCGA